CAGACTTCTAGGGGTCTCATACTAAAGAGTTACACAACTAACGATCACATGACTAATGTGAGATGTCTAGGCAGACTTCTAGGGGTCTCATACTAAAGAGTTACACAACTAACGATCACATGACTAATGTGAGATGTCTAGGCAGACTTCTAGGGGTCTCATACTAAAGAGTTACACAACTAACGATCACATGACTAATGTGAGATGTCTAGGCAGACTTCTAGGGGTCTCATACTAAAGAGTTACACAACTAACGATCACATGACTAATGTGAGATGTCTAGGCAGACTTCTAGGGGTCTCATACTAAAGAGTTACACAACTAACGATCACATGACTAATGTGAGATGTCTAGGCAGACTTCTAGGGGTCTCATACTAAAGAGTTACACAACTAACGATCACATGACTAATGTGAGATGTCTAGGCAGACTTCTAGGGGTCTCATACTAAAGAGTTACACAACTAACGATCACATGACTAATGTGAGATGTCTAGGCAGACTTCTAGGGGTCTCATACTAAAGAGTTACACAACTAACGATCACATGACTAATGTGAGATGTCTAGGCAGACTTCTAGGGGTCTCATACTAAAGAGTTACACAACTAACGATCACATGACTAATGTGAGATGTCTAGGCAGACTCCTAGGGGTCTCATACTAAAGAGTTACACAACTAACGATCACATGACTAATGTGAGATGTCTAGGCAGACTCCTAGGGGTCTCATACTAAAGAGTTACACAACTAACGATCACATGACTAATGTGAGATGTCTAGGCAGACTTCTAGGGGTCTCATACTAAAGAGTTACACAACTAGCGATCACATGACTAATGTGAGATGTCTAGGCAGACTTCTAGGGGTCTCATACTAAAGAGTTACACAACTAACGATCACATGACTAATGTGAGATGTCTAGGCAGACTCCTAGGGATCTCATACTAAAGAGTTACACAACTAGCGATCACATAACTAATGTGAGATGTCTAGGCAGACTCCTAGGGGTCTCATACTAAAGAGTTACACAACTAACGATCACATAACTAATGTGAGATGTCTAGGCAGACTCCTAGGGGTCTCATACTAAAGAGTTACACAACTAACGATCACATAACTAATGTGAGATGTCTAGGCAGACTCCTAGGGGTCTCATACTAAAGAGTTACACAACTAACGATCACATAACTAATGTGAGATGTCTAGGCAGACTTCTAGGGGTCTCATACTAAAGAGTTACACAACTAACGATCACATGACTAATGTGAGATGTCTAGGCAGACTTCTAGGGGTCTCATACTAAAGAGTTACACAACTAACGATCACATGACTAATGTGAGATGTCTAGGCAGACTTCTAGGGGTCTCATACTAAAGAGTTACACAACTAACGATCACATGACTAATGTGAGATGTCTAGGCAGACTTCTAGGGGTCTCATACTAAAGAGTTACACAACTAACGATCACATAACTAATGTGAGATGTCTAGGCAGACTTCTAGGGGTCTCATACTAAAGAGTTACACAACTAACGATCACATAACTAATGTGAGATGTCTAGGCAGACTCCTAGGGATCTCTTATTAATGAGTTACACAACTAACGATCATATGACTAATGAAGAAGTCCGTGAAATGAACACTAATGCGATTGGTATCTATGAGAGACAATAGGGCTGGTAAGTAGGTCAGCAACCAGTTCTATGGCTCATGCAGGTTTTACTGAGCCGTAGAATGGGATTGTGACCTACTTACCAGCCCTATTGAGTATAGTCATAACAAAAAAGCTGAGATGGTATATGAACATGTCACACGAACTAACGGCCTAATACTGTTCAATAAAGGTGAAGAAGGGGAAGACAAAGACGCCATTGTGTCATTGGGTAGAGGACATCAAAGAACTAATCACAGCAGCTATAGTAATATAAACTTAACGAGTTAGGTTAAAACTGCTCTTTCTTTACTCGGACTATATTCTGTACCTCTAAGAATCACTTTCTGCTTCAAATTATAGCTTGTTTCCACCTCTCTACACATTTAATCTCTCTCAGCAGCCGAAGAATTTTCAGAAAATCTTCAATGGTGCACCAACGACCCCAATTAGGATTTAGTTAAGAGATGATTGATCAATTAATTAAATGTACTTTAAATTGAAAACTAGGTTAGAACATTTAGATAAAGATTTCTAAAAAAAAAATAATAATCTGATTTGAATATGAGAAACGTCTAAATAAATATTTTTGCAACTTATATTGACGCAGTTACCTCCCTTTCGAACTAAATTTACACCCCTCAACAGCAAACAAAATTTGTTTTTCAAGGGAAGCTATTCTAATTTTCTTTTCATAGAAAGGTTTACTCGGTCATTTCCCTTTTCAAAGTGCAAGTTAATTTAAAATGTTCAATAATTAAATTTCAACTTGGTAAATGGTATTTTTTTCAGTTTTTGTCTTAGTTAAGGTTATTAATGGGATGGGGAAAGGGTAGGATCATGGATAAGTTTAAGGTTTGCTTTGAGTTGGTGAAGCTATTGCAATAGAATTATGCAACGCCCCGCCGGTTTTTGAGGTAGCTCCTATTTATAACCATCAATTAACACACTTTTGAATGTAAATAGCACGTGATTACCTCATCCAATCACAAATGAAATCATCTCAAAGCTAAAATAAATCCAAAACAAAATGTAATAATTGTTCTAAAATCACACGGCGTACTTAAAAAAATAAAAACATAAAACACGGATGGTCCCTGATTACAAAACAAATTTACATTTAAAATTACGTCATAATTAATTGAACTTCCTGCTCAGCATCGCGTCTGGGAACAGTTGATTACGTAATTAAACCAATTAAATCTGTCACGCCTCATTGCTCAGGCGTGAAACATGAAACCAAAATTTAATTGGCTTAACCTCGGTTTTATTTGTTGGTAAAATAAAAATCAGGATTTGCAAAGCGTTAAAACAAATATTGCTTTTGTTTGGATTTTCATTAAATTTTCAAGTTGTTTTTTTTAATGTTTACATGTTGCCAGATAAAGAAGGAATTTGGTTAATACAATTTAATTCACAAGTGGTTTAATTCGTGATGATGATGAATTGTGACGTCGTTAGTGGATGATAATTATGTAATGGTTTTAATTGTTGTGTTTTTTTTTTAAATTACAACCAACATGCTGATTATGAGACCAGTCTAAAATACCAGCTACAATAAAGCAGTTACCATCGCCGACTACCAACACCGGCTACAACTACCACACTGATGGTAAGAAAATCTACACACCCGCTACAATAACCAGCTACAAGCACCTGCAACCAACTACAGACTACCGCGCTGATTATGTTACTAGCTAAAAACACCAGCACTGGCTATAACTGCAACGCTGATGGTACAGCAAGGTAAACATCAGCTACAATAACCAGCTAAAAACAGCAACAACAACACAGCTACAACTACAACTCTGATGGTTATAGTAAGCTAAACACCAGCTACAATAACCAGCTAAAAACAGCAACAACAACACAGCTACAACTACAAGTCTGATGGTATAGAAAGCTAAACACCATTTACAATAACCAGCTACAAACACCAGCAACCACATTCGGCTACAACTACCACGCTGATGGTTATAGTAAGCTAAACACCAGCTACAATAACCATCTACCACGCTGATGTTGTTACTAGCTACAAACACCTTATTTATGGTGTAATCAGCTACACACACCATCCAGTAACACCACTTGTATGGTGTCTCTGGTGCCACCATTGATCGCATTCTGTGATACTCACACACACCTAGTTGTACAAACTGGCTTCTCATAACATCTGATTACAAAAAAAATGTGAGTCAATTCCTTTCATCAGCAGGTAACTCGTTTTTGTGTGTGTAAGGGTACACAACTCAAAACTTTAGTGTGTTACCACATTCATCAGATAACTAATTTGAACATTTTATGTAAGTTTAAATTAATTTATCACGAGAGACAGATCTTAATTTAGTTTTATTTAATTTATTATCAGAAATAAAATAGATCCGGATCTATATAGTAAGCTTTAAGATGAGGACGAATACAGAATATTTGATCCGTTTCTCCATGGATACAGTTACGGTCTCAACCTCTGAACCACACCATTCCGCTAGTCAATATGTATATTAATGCAACTAAAATAACATAGCTTTAAAATCTAATAATATATTTGTTTATCGAAGAATAAATATTTCAATAATTTTAGTAGTCAGTGCCTAGACAACATGACAATGGCCTGGTTCTGGCATAGCATAGAAATCTTAGTCCTATTTTTAGTGTCGAACTCTCCGCGCATGCGCGCTGACCTACTACCCCCAATAACTAACTTAATAGCGGTCAGCTCCGCTGAGATATGTTCGGTAGGATATCCGGTTTTAACTTTAGGCGTGTCTTGCGACGTGTCGATAGAGGGGTCAAGGCCGTCGATAAGAAGCAGACGACAGGTCACGGAGAAGCAAACTATATCCGGTCGTCAAATCGAGACCTCGGCTGTTGAGTTAGACGTACCTGAAACTTCTCTCAAACATTTACCTGTGGCAAGTGATAGAAACAATACATCGAATGTTCAGGTATTAATCGTAGATAAGGAAAATACCACTTTTAGTGATACTTCATTGGACGAACCAAATACCACTTTTAGTAGTGCTTCATCGGATGAACTGAATACCACTTTTAGTAATACTTCAGTTGACGAAGTAAATATAATATTTAGTAATATTTCATTGGAAAAACCAAATACCACTTTCAGTAATATTTCACTGTGCGAACCAAATACCACCTTTAGTTCAGAAGTTGATGTAAATCTACAATCGACAACTTTGTCGTCACACTCGAAATCTGCAAAATACAACACAACTTTACTCGAAACTAAATCCATCAACGCAAACCTTACAACACAAAACACAAGTTGGACTTCCAATTCTACATCAGCTCCACCCAGCCCAGCGTCGTTCAGCAGAGCAGCGCTTATAGCCATGACCTGGTATACGACGCTGATCATCAACCCCGTTATTGGCGCGCTAGGAATTCTGGGCAACATCGTCAACTGTCTCATCCTCAACCGCGACGGGCTGAAGAAACCCTCCAATATATTCCTCTTCGTGTTAGCTATAGCGGACGCATGCGCATTGGCCGAAAGCCTCGACGTGGCGGCCATCTTGACCCAATTACCGAGGTCAATCCCGCTGGGAACTACGTACATAGAGTACGACTGTAATCGGAAGTGGCAAGGGGAGATCATTCTAAATATAAACCGTGTGACAATCGGGTTGTTTACCTTTGGCGTCAACATCAGCTCAACGCTGTGTGTCGTCATCACGTTAGAGAGAATGATCGCCATTTTTTTCCCGCTGAAATTTAAAAGACTAGTAACACGAACCCGTGCATGGCTAGTCGTAGCGTCCATCTCTGCTGTTTACTTTGCTCACGCGGTGATTTTGATGAGAAAATTTTATTTTGTTTTCGGGTTTTCCCCTAGATACCAAGTTTGTCTGTGCGGTTGTTTTGTTCGATACGGCGAGATTGAAATATTTCTGGATACGGCCGTAACCTGGATAGCTTGCGGTGTATCACTGGCTATCGTTACATCCGGGTCTCTCGTCATTCTAGTCAAAATCAAGCTCATCCAACGAAATCGACGTCACATGACGTCATCGGCGTCGTCCTCGACGTCACGAACGACGCGGACGTTGATGTCCGTGTGCGGCGTGTTCGTGGTGACGCAACTGATCCGTTTCCCGTACGCCATCTCCAGCGAGCCCTTCCAGGACAAGAATGTGACGCTGATGTACATCATGGTTGTCATGACAACCTCCTACATCAACAGCGCCGTTAATTTCGTTATCTACGTCACGCTCAATTCTAAATTTAGAAAGATTTTTGTCGCTATGGTTGGATGCAGAAACGGAAGGAATAGTTTGAAGGGAAGTAACTCCCAAGGACAAGGAATTTCTGTTTAATGATCTGCACTCACTCACTTCAAAAGAATGTTGGTTACAACACTGACATTTCAGGTGCAATATATATGCCAATGACCTCAAGTACTAGAGGTAGAGCGCCTGACAGCTAACTATTAAGTCTCGAGTTCAAATCCGGGTGCAAGTCTGTAGACCGTCCCTGAGTCCACCCATCTCTGTTGGGTACCTAACTCACGTTAGGGAAAGTGAAGACGACCTTGCATAGTGCTGGCCACACTTCATATGCCTAGGTCACAGAAACAAGTGAAAATTTACTTCACTTGCCCCATAGACCGTCAGGTTTGAAAGTGAACTTTATTTACTACTACTACTTACTGGCCTCAAGTATGTCTTTAATATCATGTCAACTTATCTAACCTACCTTTTGAAAAAAATGTTTTAGCTGTTGTGAGAAATTGTCTTTTTTTCCCACGTTTTCTTTAACTTGCTTTCGCGTCTGTTTGGTTCTCCAATCAAATCTTGCGATCAAAATTTCGGGCACTTCCCAGTTAGCTAGCGCGCTGAAATTTTCAGGGAAGCTTTGTTTTCGATGACCATAGAATATTCAATTGTTATTATTACTAAATTGATCCATGGAAACATTTTATTGAGCATTTTAGACCGCTATATAATTGTAGTAAAAACGTGGGGAAAAAGGGACATAACCCAGTAACTGTAATTTGATGAAAACAAGGTTCGGTAATCTCCCTCTTTTTGCTTACTGATTAGTGTTCACGCGGTGTTTGTGTACAGACAACCGTAACAACTGGTGGCCAGTATGGGGGAGACGATATGGTCGTGTGGTTGGGCACACGATTGCTATCCCACTCGACACGGGTTCAAATCTATGTGTTCTAGTCAGTAACGTATTCACACAACGTGTTTTTTACGAGTTGTCTTTTTACGAGTTGTCTTCGTTTACCCAAAAAAAAAGTGAAAAGATAAAATCGATAGCAAGATTTTAATGCAAACAAACAGACAAAGACTAAAAAGTAGAAAATAATAATCATTAAAAAAGTTTTAAAAACCCACGATTTCTGATTGAACTAAAAAGTAGAAAATAAATGCTATACTTCACAATAATGCAAGCGATCACTCTACTATAAGCGATCAAAAACGTGGGGCGCCGTGATTTTCTTACAGTTTCTAATACTGTTGACTCTCTACAAGCTCCCTAATAAAAGTCAATAGTATTATCTAATCAATAGTAATATAACTTTTACTTCGGCGCCCCACGTTTTTCATCGCTTATAGTAGAGTGATCGCTTGCATTATTGTGATGTATAGCATTTATTTTCTACTTTTTAGTTCAATCAGAAAACGTGTGTTTTTAAAACTTTTTTAATGATTATTATTTAATGAACTCTAATACATTATTTTCTTCTTCTTTCTTAACTGTAATTTTGGAAACAATATCCCCCAATACAATTAAGTACTACGAGTCAAACTGCTATACGCCATGTAGGCCGTTGAGTCAGATTTCAGACTGCTTTTCTGTTTGGATTTGCTTCCATAGCCTTTGTCCAACCAAGAACAAACTACAAGGCAGCAGTTGTCTGATTTTGAGTTGTCTCTCCTAGATCAGGGGTCGGCAACCTGCGGCTCGCGAGCCGCATGCGGCTCTTTTGATATCAAGATGCGGCTCTCCAGTTCCTTGAACAAATACTAATAATCTTAATAAAAAAAATATTTGAAAAAAAAATATGTTAGTGGCTCTTTAAAACCAGTGAAATTTTGAAAATAGTAACTTTTGGCTCTTCCGCTTCAAAAGGTTGCCGACCCCTGTCCTAGATGTATTGCTGTCCCCAGCTATCAGCCCCGTAGGTTCGAACTCAGGACTTTATGGTCGAGCCACCATGAGTTTTACCTGCCCGACCACGCCTTCCATATTTCTTTAATTAAGAAAACTGCAGCTAATTATAAAGTACTATTAATCTGTTGCTTCTATAACAAACAAAAAATGTTTTTGTTTGAAACTTTAACTGAAACAAGAATTCACTCTATTTAATAACACACAGAGAGGCTTCTTAGAGGACTCGAGATAAATAAACAATAAGTTAATTCTTAGTTCCAGTGGCGTTACTAGGTCGGGTGTCACCCGGTGCTGTCACGGGTGGAGGCACCCCACCCTCTCCAACAATTTAACATTTTCGGTTTAGAGTCACTCCTCTCACCCTTATTATTTTGTTATCTTAACTGGATAAAACATTTTTTTTAACAACTAATTTTCGTTTTTTCTTTGTTGTGTACTCTTAAATGGTATCACCAGGTTCAGACCGCACGCCCCCCCCCCCCCCAAGCCCAAACGCCCACCTCCCCCACATTGTGTTGCCACTGCTCAGTTCAACAATATAAATTGATAACTCTAGAAATGTATATATTAAAATATTTGTAATTTTATGTATGGCTGATATTAGTTCTTTTAGCTAAAAATCATATAAAGTCAAATGATCGTAAATAAACTTTGAAAGGTAGATTTGTATACATTGCCTTTAAGTATAGCTTAAATCACAGTCAACTTATTTAAAACATATTTGTTACAATTATATCGTTAGATGTGTCACCATAGGCTACATTAACAATCGAGTTTTAACTTTTGAACAGGTCATTAACTGTCGTATATTTATCTTATACGATATCTAAGTGGTAGTTAAAACAATGACATCAGCTAGTTATTATATTGTTATAACTGAAAAATTAAACGTTGTTTTAGTTGAACTCATACATTTACATTTGAATTTGTTGTAATTAAATACACACTGTCACTACTTAGACATAGTAGGATCGATGAACAAGAAACAAAAAGTAATACGTGGGTTAACTATTCCAATTGTTGTCTTAGATTTTATAATCTCTGTAATTTTGCTCCCGTCGGCTGGAGTTTAAGAGTAAAAACTATCGACCAAGTCCCATAACCGTGGTTATTTTTTTTTCTTCTCTTTATTCATGAAACTTTCAAATATATACTCACTCAGTTGTCTACGATTTAAATTCAGCAAAGTGAACACATATAACTTTAATCTATTGATATTTTTTATATACTTTAGTATGGTTTTTCCAGGATTATTTTATTTACTATAAAATATCAGGAAAAAACACTACGTTATAGTCATCTATTGCTATATGCCCTACTGCTACTAATATCATTTGAGCTCATCATGTAAAATAAGAGAGAAATTTAATGAATTTATACGTAAACATAATTAAACCACGTTGCTTCAGTATCTAAAGATTGAATTCGTTGTGAAGTTAAACATCTGATATCAAAACAATTCATGGTGAAGTTAAACATCTGATATCAAAACTATTCATGGTGAAGTTAAACATCTGATATCAAAACAATTCATGGTGAAGTTAAACATCTGATATCAAAACAATTCATGGTGAAGTTAAACATCTGATATCAAAACAATTTATGGTGAAGTTTAACATCTGATATCAAAACAATTCATGGTGAAGTTTAACATCTGATATCAAAACAATTCATGGTAAAGTTAAACATCTGATATCAAAACAATTCATGGTGAAGTTAAACATCTGATATCAAATACGATTAAAATTAGACTTGCCAGATAAATTATAGTAAGTCAGGGACAAAGACTTTGTTTAAATTAAACAGAAACGTTCATGTAAAGTCTGACGTCAGAAAAACACCCAACGTCAAAATGGCGTGCACAACACGTGTCATATATTTGGTGTTGTTGTTTACGTCACAGTGTCCTAGTCTAGACTCTGGTGACGCCACTAGATTTAAAAATACCACCAACACCGTGAAACCAGACGACGAGCTACTGATAGAAACTGCTGTTACGTCACAAAATTCTAACGTCATTTCGAATGTCCGGATTGCGGAACAAACGGAAATCAATCCAGTATTTCGATACTCAGAAAATCTATATCAGACAACAACAAACAAACAAATGGACAAACATCTGGACAAACAAACGGAACAAGCAATAGATATCACCAAATACGATTTTCCAGTCCACGATGACGTCAGAGCTAAAAATACTAACCAATCAGAGCCTTCACGCGAGATTAACAACACGGAGCTGATAGTGGAAGTGGAGACCAACTCCACCGACAACAGCTCCCAACTCCACCCAACTTCCACCACAGCTCCACCACCCAGTAGAAATATTCGAATCATCTTGAAATGGTACACGGCCGTTGTCGTAAATCCTGTAATCGCTCTGTTCGGCATTGTGGGCAATTTACTCAACTGTGCCGTTCTTAAACGGAGCGGATTCCAAAAACCTTCAAACATCTTTCTCTTCAGCCTCGCTATCGCTGATATCTGTGCTTTGCTGGGTGCCATGGACGTTTTCAAGTTCCTTGTCCAGTTCCCTAAACACCTACCCTTGGGGAACAATTTTTTGGAATACGCATGCGCGGAGCAATTGCAGGCTGAGGTCATACTGCGCATGTCCACAATCGTTGTCGTCATCACCAATATTGGAATGAGCACTAGCATGTGTTTGTGTGTGGTCATAACCCTTGAACGACTTCTCGCTGTGTTTATTCCACTAAAATTCGCCATCATCCTTACGCCCCAAAGAGCGTGGATAATATCCATATGTGTATCCATTTTCTGGATAGGCTACACGTCCATGCTTTTTAAAGTCTACGTCTTCTCCTACATGCAACTCTCTGACGTCACATCCTGTGCTGGCACATACTACATAAATGTAAACCAAAGCACAACGATCCTAGACACCGTAATGGGCTGGTTCTCTGGTTATCTGTCACTCCTTATAATCCTCACTGGATCGTTCATCATTTTCCTTAAGATAACGTCCGTACAGAGAAAAAGGTTGACAATGACGTCATCGGTTTCTGCGTCCACCTTGCGCACCACGCGAACTTTACTAACTGTGTGTTCCGTTTTCGGGTTTACCCACTTAGTGCGTTTCCGGTACCTCATGTTTGAAATGGGGTTTGATGACGTAGATGTTGAGATGATGTACAGTATGGTTGTCGTGACAACATCCTACGCCAACAGC